CATATTGCCAAGGATGTTGGCTTGCCCCTGAAATAGGTTGACTTGGTTAATGCAGTAACAGCATGTCCCGTGTGTTGTAAACGTCATGCAAAAGGCAAAAGGCAAAGGAGCCTGGGGCCATTCACCAGAATTCCCAACTGGTGGCAGATTGGCAAATTGATTATATTGCCCCCTCCCCCTTAGTGAGGGTTTTTCCTGTGCCTGGTTTGTGTGGACACGACATCTGGCCTACCCTGGCCACTACAAACCAGGCTGCCACCATGAGGGGATTATAGAAACGCAATATGGTGTTTAGACACCCTCATCGACGAGACAGCCATTGGGGGTCATATTGCAAAACTGGGCAAAAGAACATGACCTAGAATGGACGTCCCCATCTCTCCTATAATCTGCCAGCAGTAGGGTTGATAAAAAAGGAAAAATGAATATTAAAACAGCAGATTAAATTACTCCCAGGTAAAACCACCTTGGCTGGGTCACTAAAGCAATGTCCCAGGCTTTCATACGTTTGGATGATCAACCAGTAGGGCCTGTTGCCCCATAGGCCAGACTGGGGACTCTTGCCCAGACACCCAATGCTATAAAGGTATGGAAGTCGAGGGAGATAACCATTGCCCTGCTCCCTACAGATCAACATGTTATGCTGCTGAGAACACTAAGCCCCATCACACGTGGGCAAGGTGTCATCTACTGGAATTCGCAATGAGATGTCCCACCAGGATGGGTGAGTGACTTCACATGCCTGGGTGAGGGAGACCTGCTCCCTCTCCCCTGGGATCTCACGGTCCTGCTCTAAGGCAGACCTGCTAAAATGCATTAAACCTGGAACAGAATAAGCGCCACTGGAAAAGGAGAAGAGGTGGGGGTCCTGGGCTGCCACATGGTGCCCCCAATCCATCTCCTCACTCTTGACAGCGCCGCCTCCCCCAGCCAACACGTGTGGTGTGCACAACCAGGTAGAGGTCCTAAAGCTGACAACCTCCCACTCCTCGAGGCCAGGTGGGCATGTTCTGATTCCCACTGGTACAATCATTTGGCTGCTTTTTCCCCTCTGTCGGCCTGGAGGATGTTCTAGCACACACAGGAGCCCTTAACTAAATTCACCCAGCAAGCCTTGAATGATAGCCAACAAAACCTGTCCTTACTGAACACCAACAGATCTTCAATGAGGAAAGCTGTCCTCAAAAACAGGGTGCCTTAGACTTCATCACTGTCTTGCAAGGAGGCACCATTATCCAAACACAATGCTGCATGGTCGTATCGATGAGTCTATTATGTCATCTTTATTAAGTCACATGGGAATACACGGGAAGGCCCTGAATGATCTGACTCCCAGGTTAGGGGACTTAATAAATCAATGGTTCGGATCACGGGGCTCTTGATGGAAAACATTATCACTGATGGGGGAGTCCTTGTCTTATTCTGTATTTTCTCTTGTATGTGCTTGTATTGTTGCTATGGCATTTGCCTCCAGGGTAGCCAGACAGCCACCAAGGGAGCTGCCACCATGCTCGTGAAACCCCTTGCTGACCGCTCAGGGCACAATGCAGAAGAGGGGGCATGTGAGGTTCTAAGAGCCGATAGGAGGGGTAGAGGGTTATGGAGAGGACATAACCACCAGTTGACCCACAAGCTGGACCGGGGCAACTGGAGGTTCCTCTCCCCTTCCCCTGTCCTTGGGATGTGCATTCTGCTTGCCTTCCCCGCTCCCAGAGGCTGCCCCAAGGACATGGCCTTGAGATGGTGATGTGGGGTTGAGACCAGCTGGACAGTGTGTATGGGGACTGAACCCAGTTAAGGCCTCTGTATAAGCTTTCAAGATCTGGCAGGCGGGTGTGGAAATCTCGTCTTGCGGCCAGCCACCCAAGACAAGCCTTGTAAGTAAGTCCCTTATTAAACCTGCTACCACCCGACCTGGGGTGGCCTCTTTCTTGGGTCTTTCCTGCCCTCTGCATCTGGGGGCCGGGTTCAGATTACCCCAGGAAGCTCCCAGCTCCTGAGGAGGCTATGAACTACCACCAGTCAGGGGGGTGAGTTAATGTCTCTCAGGCCACTGACACATGTGGGTTTTCCAGGCCAGGAAAACCTGTTTGGCTCTTTCTGGCTGTCCTCCTAAAGACACAAAGCAAAGCAGCGCAGGCGGCCCCAGTGGGCAGCTCCCAATCCTGGCCACTGGGAGGCAGCTCAGCACTCTTCCTGCCCCCATCCTACACCAGCCCCCAGCCCCAGGGAGGGAGAGACCTAGGCAGAGGGGGGCCGCAGGATCCCATGAAGCAACACTACACTGAGAAGCTGTGACCTTTCCCCCCCAGGCCCTGTGTTTGCTTACACAGCAGTGGCCTTGGGAAACGGCCCCACTTTGAGGCCTGCTGACTGGGGTCAAATCCTGGCCACTCTGCCTCCTTAGAGAATCCTCTTCTCCCTTTTCCTACCTGCAAAGTGGGGTCAGTCCTAACTCCCACCTTCCACCCTGCGCAGGGTTGCTGTGGGTATCAAGGAGAGAACACGCATAAAACATTCTGCGGAGGGCGCCTGGGTGGCTCAGTTGGTTGGGCGACTGCCTTCGGCTCAGGTCATGATCCTGGAGTCCCTGGATCGAGTCCCGCATCGGGCTCCCTGCTCGGCAGGGAGTCTGCTTCTCCCTCTGACCCTCCCCCCTTTCATGCTCTCTCTCTCTCAGTCTCTCTCTCAAATAAATAAATAAAATCTTTTAAAAAAACCAAAACATTCTGCGGATAAAAGTGCCCATTAGGGGGTCAATCTCTGCCCTCATCACCCTCACTGCCCTCAAGGCACAAGGAAAAGAGAATAGGGTTTATAAAGACACTGGCTGGATCCACTGCCACCTCCCCACCTCCTTGGCTGGCTTCCCCCAGCGCTCTGTAAGGTGAGCACGTTCCTTTCATTAAGGAGGAAAGGGTCTGCCCGAGGCTGCCCAGGGTAGGATGCAAGCTCAGGTCTGCCTCTCACCTTGTGCCCCTTACAAACAGGACCAAAGGCACTGGGGACACAAAGCTGGGGCCAGGGAAGGTGTTCACCTCATGTCAGCAGGAAGCAGCTATTGGGAGTCCAAGGCCCACTCCCAGCTCCTCCACCAGGACGCTCCTTCCAGCGTTTTGCCATCCACACCACCCCTGGGTGTTACATCTGGACCGCTGAGCCCACGCCAAGCCGGGGACCATGAAGTCAGCAAGCCCCATGCGCCTTAGTGCCCCCAACTGGAGGTCAGCAAAGCCTTTTAGTGAATGAGGGAAGGAAGTGCCACGCCCATGCTTTCTAGATGGCCCTGCCCTTTGCAGGTTCCTTACGTTTCTCAAAATACCCTTCCAGCCACTAATGCATTTAAATAAGTACACAGCCAGGTGGGCAAGGCTTGGCATTCCTCTTCTCATTTTTTAATAAGGGAACCCAGAGGGTCCAAGAGATTGGATTGAGGTCCCGCCACAAAGGAGGGGCTGACCTCACAGGAAGGAGGAAGGATCCATGCTCCCCGGGATCTGGAGGAGGTGGGAGGAAGTAGGGAGCAGGGCGATGGGGAGGGACCCCCTCTCTGAGCCTCAGTGCCCTCATCCTAAAACAGGGGTAAGGAGATGGGATCTGACATCTCTTCGCTTATTTCCAGTTTGCTCAGGGCAAGCCGAGAGGCAGCTAGGGAAACAATCCTACCATTCCTCCCCCGATGGCAGGGTTAAGTCCCAAGCAGAGAAGGCATCTTGGACCAAGGCCAGGAGGGGGCTGCAGGAGGTCCGTGCCTTAAGTCTCTGAATCTTCATCCCCAGACCTCCAGAGAGCAAGGTGGGCAGGAAAAACATGGGGCCTGGAGAGAGCCATGGTTCTGCCACTAACTAGCCATAGGGCCTGGACCTGCCCCTTCCTCTGTGTGCCTCAGTCTCCCTTCTGTCCGATGAGGTGACCTCTCAGGACCTCCAGCTCAAGAGTGTTCAAAACAGTTTTCACAGAGTTCTTTCCCTCAGAGGCACAGAAAGGAAGAGCCATTTTTCAACAAATTAGGAAAAATGTTGCACAGGACTTAGGTTCTGCAGACCCTGCCCCGAGGACAGAGCTCAGAGCCAGGAGGTGTCGGCCACTCTGAGGGCTCAGGCCAGCCTGGAGAGGCCCCCAAAGCAGTGAGGTCCCGGCCACGAGAGGTGCCCAGGCAGGAAACCCAGCCAGGGGGATGGTGAGACTTCTAAGGTTCTCTGTTAGGAGGTTCTAGAACTCAGCACTTCCTCTCCTGAGACTCCCCCCCACCCCCAGCAATGTGGAACCCTCCTGGCCTCCCCTTTGTCTGCAGGAGAGGACGAGCCATCCGGTTTGAAACTAGCCAGCACTGGGTTAAATCTCGACTCGGCCACTTAACTGAGCAAGTAACTTAATGTCCTCACATCTTTGTTTCCTCCTCTCTAAAATGGGGATATTAAGCCTTCTTGGATGAGATAATGCAGTGTCGAGTGCTTAGCACGAAATGGCAGCTATTTTATAGCTCTGCAAATAGGCTGCAGCTGTTTGGAAAGGTCAGGGGGCCCGGGGAGCTGGAAGGAGGGACCGGGTGCTGCGGGCAGGACATTGTTGATGTCTCTGTGGGTTTCTGGGGAACTAGGGGGGCCCTGGGAAGCTAGGCGTCCTTGAGAGCCTCTGTACAAAGACGCATGCGTGGACTCGTGGACACACCTTTGGCCATGTCGGGGAGTCGTGCCGGGGCAATGGATGTGGGTGGAGATGTCACCAGTCACCTCTGCTGATGCCACCTCATATGGATGCTAGGTTGCTTGTTAGCACGCGGCTATGGGAACACATATGTAGGTCCTCATGAGTCAGAGCTGAAATAGCTTTTAGCTTTGGGTCTGTTCTCCCATTTCACAGATGCAGACCGGGACCTACCTATGGGGGGGGGGCGTGGAACTGAGGGCACCACCTGGAGAGGGTCCCAGACATCCTTACTCTCCATCATTCCATGGGGCATTACTCCCCAGGGACCACCCACCCACCAGGACACCTACCTACTGCATCTGGCTCTGGCTCAGTGCCCAGGTACCGTCCTTGGGACCGTGAATCCACCAGCTGGAACCTCTTAGACTCGAGGTTCTCCAGCACCTGCTCGTAGGTCTTGAGCAGGGAGCGGTCCAGTGTGGCTTTGAAGACGGCCGGCTCTGGGCGTGAGGGCTCAGACGTCACCGGGTGGCCCTCCTTCAGCCAGTTCCGGAAGCCGCCATTGAGCACTGACACGGTGCGGTGGCCAAACACACGGAACATCCACCAGACCCGGGGCGCATAGAAGCAGCCCAGGTTGTCACCGTCGTACACCACCACGTGCGTCTGGTTGCTGATGCCCAGGCGGCCCACGTAGTCGGCGAAGTGGGCCTCGCTGGGCAGCATCATCTCGTAGGGCGACGCCGTGTTGCGGCACTCCTCTATGTCAAAGAAGGAGGCTCCGGGCACATGCCGCTCTAGGTACTCCTTGCGGGCCTCGCGGGTGCCCGGCGAGTACCAGGACGCGTCCAGCACCCGCAGGCCTGGCCCCAGCTTGCCAGCCCGAACCGACTCCGCCAGCCACTTGGTGGAGACCAGCGCCCGGTAGAGCACCTGATGAACCATGGTTTCAGCTCTGCGCATCACCTGGCGCGGGTGGAAACCCGGAAAGAGAGCGGCATGAGGTCTGCGTGTGCCGCGGGGCGGGATCTGGGAGGAGCTTTTTTCCCACCGCACCCCCCTCAGGGTGGCTTGTTCGCGGCAGCCCAGCAACCCTGGGGCGCCGGGGCAGGCTGTGGGAAAGCTTTGCCCATTCCCCGGAGGAAAGGCCGCCCCGCCCCTCCCCGGGGCCCCCCGCGCAGAAGGGGGCGGGGCGAGAGCCTCCGAGGGCCCCAAAAGGGGGAGCTGGCGGGGAGGGCGCCCGGCCCCGGGAGCTCTACAGTGCTCGCCCTCGGGATCCTGCTAGAAAAGAGCGGCGAAGAGATGCCCAGGACGGGGGAGGAGGAGGGAATCTGTTGAGCTTAGAACCCCCTTGGCTGGGGGGGTAGGGGAGTGGGCGCCTGGGGGAGGGGTCGCTGGGGCCCGCACACGCCCTCGCCCGCGCCTCTGGCAAGCCCGCCCGCGGCCAATCTCAGCGGCCAGGTAGGGCTCGCCCGCCTCCAGAAGGCCCGCGCCCAGCCCCGACTCGGTGCCCTCTGCCCCTGCTGGGCACCCGGCCGCGCTCTCGCCACGGGGACCCTCCCCTGGGTCGCAGGGGCCAGACCGGCGGCCCAATCCCGAGCGGCCCGGGCGCCTGGCCGCC